ACAAGAACAGCCTTTTTCCACCTTAGAAACATTGCTAAGCTACGTAACATGCTATCTATTTCTGATGCAGAAAAATTAGTTCACGCATTCATGACCTCGAGACTAGATTACTGTAATGCTTTATTAGCCGGTTGTCCTGCATCCTCAATAAACAAGCTACAGTTAGTACAAAATGCAGCTGCTAGAGTTCTTACTAGGTCAAGAAAATATGATCATATAACACCGATTTTATCATCTCTACACTGGTTACCTATTAAGTTCCGCATCAACTACAAAATACTACTACTGACCTATAAAGCCCTAAATGGTTTAGCACCTATGTACTTAACGGACCTTCTTTCGCCCTACAATCCACCGCGTTCCTTAAGATCACTAAATTCAAGGCTTCTGGTCATTCCTAGGATATCGAAGTCCAGTAAAGGAGGGAGGGCGTTCTCGCATTTAGCTCCAAAACTCTGGAATGGCCTTCCCGATACGGTCCGAGCCTCTGACTCGCTGACACAGTTTAAAACTAGATTAAAGACGCATCTCTTTAGTCAAGCATTCACATAATGCTTACCTTCTAGTCCTCTGTTATGCCATACGGAACCGTTTGCCACTGAAACTGCTTAACGCACCAGTGGGGCTCGACAGCCTCTTAGACAAACGGGTCGGCGCGTATGGTTGGGTTGCGGAGAGTTCGGGTTACGGAGAGTTTGTGAGTTATAACGGAAATTATTATGAACATCAGCTATGCTAATTATTTCCCATCTGCCTTTCTGCTGTTATCTCGGGACGCTTGTCCCAAGAAAAATGGCGTTCGTCAGGTCCAGTTTTGTGTCCAGCCTCTCACGGGGATTTCGGATGCCCCAACGCCTGTGATGAGACGACTCAACGCCTGTGATGAGACGACTCAACGCCTGCGATATGTTATGGCGCCGTTTGATTCATAAACAATATTTATATTTAATATTTATATTTAAACAATATGAATGTAAGCCAGAGGAGAACTGGCCCCCGACTGAGCCTGGGTTCTCCCAAGGTTTTTTCTCCATCCAATCTGATGGAGTTTGGTTCCTTGCCACTGTCGCCTTGCTTTTGGCTTGCTTTGAGCTTGCTCAGTTGGGGTTATTTATTCAGTGTTTAGCAATGTTGTTGATCTGTGTTGTGCTACTTACATGTTATCACTGTGAAGCTGCTTTGATACAATCTGTATTGTGAAAAGCGCTATATAAATAAATGTGACTTGACTTGACTTATCCCATGACTTTAACCACAACCTGCACAACACTGTGGATTTACAGCACTTTGTTCAAATGCTAACACACTGCTGTCAAAACTGTAAACCACTCATTCAAAACAGAATAAATTTCAGCCTTGTGCATTTCACACACTGCTGATGTTCAAACTATTTCAGCTGAAAGGCTGAAAACTTGTGGCCTAATGCTTGAGAGACCCAGATAGCAAACTGACATTGAATCAACGTGGAAACATGACATCGAAACAACGTTGATCTGACATTGTTTTGCTCATTGAATTACAGTAACGTTGAACCAACGTCAGACGTGTCATTCTTTCAAAACTAACGGAAAATCAACTTGAAATCAACATTGTTTCAACGTTACGAAAGCAAACCAATTTTCGATTTTCATTTAGCTTTGAAGAATGCCGCGTCTGACGTTGGTTCAACGTTACTGTAATTCAATGAGCAAAATCAACGTTGTTTCGATGTCATGAGAGACGTCGTTTCCACGTTGATTCAATGTCAGTTTGCTGTCTGGGGAGGGAGGGTTACAGTATCACAGTATGTACTTTTAGTTTCTACCTTTTTTTCTCATTACTGTAATTCTGTAAATTACTACAGACTATTGAAGCAAACTGCTAATTTTCAATTGTTATGTTCTAAAAATGTAAATATATCAAATGAAAGAATGTCACTGTTTTCTTTGAAGAAAATATTACTTTGTATGAAGTGTGAAATTGTTGAAACTGTAAAGATGAAAGGTTTGGATTTTCTGCATTGGTGTTTGATGCTACTGTTTTTCCTCTCAGTGTGTGTTATCTCAGTGAGGGTTGTGCATAGTGTTGTGCACACTGAGCCTGTTTTGAGCCGTGTGTTACGTAAGAGTTGTGCTCAGGTGACTGTTGGTAATGCAGACTGTGGTTAGAGTTTTGCACATTTAGCTCCAGTTGTGCTCATTGTCGTTTAGCAATCGAAAAAAACTGTAACATCTCATTCTGGCCAAAGTCTTTTAAAGGGCAAACTTTCATAAGCCTTCGGTCCAAAGAGTCTTTGAACCTGAACTTTCCATAAATCCTCATTGACTCCTTTGATGTTTTTTTCAGCCAGAGAGTGGTCAAAATTTGACCTGCTTGACATATTTTTGGCAAAACAGTCATTGAACTTTCTATACATATTCATTGACTCCTTCTGATGTTTCATCCGCCAGAAAGTAGGTCAGACTTACTTTGACCTACTAAACATTTTTCTGTCCAAAGAGTCTTTGAACTTGAACTTTCCATAACTACTTATTGAGTACTGCTACTGTTTCATTAGCCAGACAGTGGTCCATATTTGACCTACTTAACATATTTCTCTCCAAAGAACTTGAAGAACTTTCCATAAATACCTATTAACTCCTTTGATGTTTTTTTCAGCCAGACAGTGGTCCACGATTGACCTACTTTTACACATTTCTGGCAAAAGTCTTTGAATTTGAACTTTCCATACCTAACTCATTAACTCCTTTGATGTTTTTTACAGCCAGACTGGTCCATATTTGACCTAACTTAACAAATTTCTGTCCAGAGTCTTTGACCTTGAACTTTCCATAAATACTCATTAACCCCTTTGATTTTTTTTCAGCCAGACAGTGGTCCATGTTTGACCTACTTAAAATATTTCTCTCCAAAGAGTCTTTGAACTTGAACTTTCCAAAAACACTCATTAACTCCTTTGATGTTTTTTTTTTTCAGCCAGAGAGTTGTCAATATTTGATCTTCTTGACATTTTTGCCAAATTCTTTTAAAAGGCTAACTTACTATGCAAACTCATAGACATCTTGCTGTTTCATGAATTTTAGTCCTTATTCTCTTATACTTATACTCATTTACTCCTGACCATATTTGACCTACTTAACATATTTTTTCCAAAGAGTCTTTGAACTTGAACGTTCCATAAATACCCATTAACTCCTTTGATGTTTTTTTTTTCAGCCAGACAGTGCTCCATATTTAACCTTCTTAACAAATTTCTGTCCAAAGAGTCTTTGACCTTGAACTTTCAATAAATATTCATGAACTCCTTTGATGTTTTTTTTCAGGCAGACAGTGGTCCATGTTTGACCTACTTAAAATATTTATATCCAAAGAGTCTTGGAACCTGAACTTTCCATATCTACTTATTGAGTCCTTCTGCTGTTTCATCAGCCAGACAGTGTTCCATATTTGACCTACTTCACATGTCTCTGGCCAAAGAGTCTTTGAACTTGAACTTTCCATAAATACTCATTATAGTCCTTCAGCTGTTTTGAGTCCTTCTGAGAACTACTTATTGAGTCATTCTGCTGCTGTTTCATGAGCAATAAACCTCAATGTTTCTTAAGCAGGAGACTCCATACTTAACCTTAACTTATTTCTGGGCATGGACCACACTGTCTGTCAGATGAAACATCAGATTGAGTCAATGAGTGTTTTTGGAAAGTTCAAGTTCAAAGACTCTTTGGACAGAAATATTTTAAGTAGGTCAAAAATGGACCCTATAGTTTATTTACGTAATTGAATTAAAGTTTTTTGTCAAATTTTGTTGCATATAATCCTATGAAATAATCATGTAAGGCAATTCTAGTTTATTGAACTGTATACAATGAATATCACATAAAATATAGCTCATTCTGGCAACACAGATGAAGAGAATACTGGTGTAAAATGTTCAATTCTGTTTTTTCTTTAGGACCCTCAAAATTGGCAGCTTCTAAAACGAGTTTTATTATCCCCCCCCCCCCCCCCCACAAACACACACACACACAAACAAAGGCACTTTTAAGAGCCACGTCTGTCTTGTTAATCTGCACTTATCAGTCTCTCTCTCTCTCTCTCTCTCTCTCTCTCTCTCTCTCTCTACATTTATTTGTTTGTCTGTCATCTCTTCGTTGTGAGTCTTTCTGTTTGTTTGTGTTTCTGCCCATCACAATGTCCAAGAGTGATTCAGAAATCCAAGATCATCTCATGATCTTAGATAACTTGGTTGATGACCAAGAACTGAAAGATGAGCTCCAAAGTCTTGATGACCTTCTTGATGAGCTGCAGGAAGAGGAGGCAGCAGCAGCAGCACCAGTAAAGACACCTGAACCGAGGGTGGTTTGGAGAAAAAGAGACAATACTGGAAATATCGTTCATGCGAGATATATTGTAGATTGTTTAACCACTTATGAGTGTATATGTTACAATACATGTATAGCGTAATATGGCAGGGAAACAGTCAACCCAGAATCAGTCATTTGATTTTTTGCATAAAAAGTAGATTAATGAAAGACATCATTAGTCTTGGATTAAGTGAAAGACACATTCAGGTTAATATTAGATATTTCTGCAAAGCATAAAAAATAGTTTAATTGTGGGCTGTATTGACATTGTCAGGCATTGTTGTCAAAATGGTTAATATAACGTCAAATGAGATAGCCTGGTTACTATCATACTTAATCTCTTTCAAGTTATTGGTCTTGGCAAGGCTGTGTTTGAAACACTTTATTCTTCAGAGTGTGTTGTCAATTGCCAACCAACGTGTTTCTTTTTAATCTGCTTCTATATAAGGATTCATATTTGCTGTCATCATCTATATGACACCTTATATGCAGATAACCAATAGTAATTGGACTTTCCCCATTAGGGTTTGGAAAATAAGTGTACTAATATTTCTCTCTAGCTCTATGTTAAACAGTGAGCTTGCACCATTTTAGGCGGGCAACCAGGCATTGGGACAAGTTATAAATGTTGATTTGTGTTGTTTTTATCCTCTACAGCTGATCACATTCGGAAGACTGATCCTCCCTTCATTGCTCCTGACCCTAACTGTGAGGTGGCCTTTACTCCAGAGACTGTTGGTGTGTACTTCATAGTGTCACCATTAGCCCTTGTATATATATATATATATATATATATATATATATATATATATATATATATATGATATTTATAACATTTATGACAGTGGGTTAGAATGTAAATAAATGTTTCTACTTTAAACTTTGGTAGAATACTGATCCTTTCACAGCCAAATTGAGTACACTTTAATATTGTAAAAAAAAAAATATATATATATATATACACATACATGGAATGAATTTTTCAATATTCCATATCATTTACAGAGTGTTTTCTACAAGATCTCCAACACTCACTAAGTGAATTCTCTGGTGATGAAGCATCACCTCTTGAAACCCCAAGAGATCCTCTTCTGGCTTCCTTAAACTGGAGCAAAAGACAAAGTCTCTTTTCAGAGAGGTGGAGGGCAGAGAGACCCCGCCTGGTAAACACGGCTGCGGAAAGGGAACATGTGGCAACACACATCTGCCAACAGTGTGGGAGTAATCCAGCGGCTGTCCGGTGTTGTGACTGTAGACCACGTCCCTTCTTCTGTGCTGAATGTGACGTCAGCATGCACACCAGACATGTTCTTCACAACAGAGATGCCATGACTGCTGGATTCTTCCAACCATTGCCTTCAACATCTTACGTGGTGGATAAGGCTCTTTCCCATTGTGGTAAGTTCTGGTTTGTGTTCAACATATGTATAATTTTCAGAATAGTTAAGCTCATAAGCTTTATTATTTAAATTATGCCTTTTTTCCATTATTGTTTTATCTTGGATTTATCTTCATTGCCATTGATCTATTACAATCTCAGTCAATACAAATTGATCATAATTCAATTGTACCATATGTTCTTTTTCAGTCCGGCTTGTACCTGTGGAGATGCCTGACAAAATCTGTGGTTGCTCACCAGAGTCATTGAGGGTTAGTCCAGGAAAGACTGTTGCTGTGGTCACAATGAATGGTAAGAATGTGAAGAACTTTATTTTGTCCTGTTTAAGAAGCATCTTAAAAAATAAATATATATCCATACGTGACTACCTGCAAGTTTGACATTGATATAAAACTTTTAAAGTAATGTATAAATTGTACAAAGAACACAAATCCTGGTTTACATTACAGTGGATGTGTTTTTGATATTTCCAGGACGACATGATCTAAGCATGCCCGAGTTAATTTGTGAGGCATGCCAAGCCACTTGGACTTCTGGAGTCGCTGACCTAAACAGAAGTGACTACTGGCCTGCAACCCTTCAATTTGCCACAGTTTATGCCACAGATGTCTTTTTTTCATTTGAAGAAATGAAGATGGCGGCACCAGGACTGTCCTGCCAAGCATTTTTAAGAATGCTGAATCAGCGAACTGTCCGCTTTGGTCGTGTGACTACTTAATTTTGATATTTGTTGAGTTGTGGTTTGATAAACTGTTTGATGCTAATTTATTTGTTGTACATTATTAGCTGTTGGTTTTCTTGTTTTTAATAGACTGGCAAGATCTCAGCAGACAGTTTTCTGAAAAGTTGTTTTGAGTGGGAGGCTGTGCGATTTGAGTTGGACAATATGTGCAAGGAAGAACCCTTTAACTGTCCTGCGTGCACCCCTGAAATGCTTGCAGTTTCAGTTGATGGAAACCGCAAGCATTATCGTTTCAAGAATGCTGCTAGGTACTCCAAACTGTGTATCACATTGTTTGTATTAATAGGAAAACATAACTCTTTAATGTGTGAACCAAGAAATCTCAGATTATAAGTTATCATAAATTGTTATCCATCACCAATTGTTGTTTTTTATTTTTTTAGATCTGAGGAACAGGCCATCTTTGAAGACGTCTTCATTGCCAAGGATGAAGACGTGAAAAGATTTGTGGACCACATTCACAACACAACCAAACATGTAAAATTTTGTAAAACCTCTTTCCGAAGAGTTTGTTTATGAGAGTCTTATTTTCATCCACCATTTTTCTTATTGTAGGTCAGTGGAAGAGGTGTTTGTGGAGGTGAGTGGTCAGCAGCCAGAGAGACCTCACAAAGATCTTCCAGCAAGGTAGACGAGGAGGGATTGGAGCTTGCGGTGTGTCGGCACGGTGTCCTGCTCTCTGCCTTAAATATGAATAGGGGGGAAATTTTTGCCTATCCCCTGTACCTGCAAGAAAAGCTGGCCAGTAGGCAAATCACTTTTTTTTTGCATGGATGTGACCTGCAAATATTGGCCCTACCTCCAAAGAGTTGCGAAAAGCTGTCCAGAGCTCCAGCACCTTCTGAACATGAAGCCTTTCCTTTCGGTATTTCATGCCAAAGCCCATGATTTTAAATGTGAGGTAAGGAAATGTTGCTATATGATATAATTGTATTATCTAAATCTAGAAACATGTTTTTTTTTTTTTTTTTTTAATTGTTTTTTTTATTATTATTATTCTTAACCAGGTGAAATGGAGTGGGGCATATCAGGATGGGGCTGGTCTAACACTGGGGGAGGAGGTGGAACAGTGCAATGCCTTCCTCTCTAGGATTGCAGTGACCACAAAACATATGTCAAAGGCAGGTAAGGTGACATACTGCACTAGGTACATCCTTATATACTAATTTGGAGGAATATGGTAACATCTTATTTTCTGTCTTTGCAGGACGCACAGACATGCTCACTCTCATGGCCATGCGCTGGAATCAGCAAAAGGTTAACAATTTGGCAATCTCACTGACCCGCCGATATCAAAAGGTCATGACATCAGTAGAATTAATTTTAGATGTTCAGTATTGCATGTTAGCAGTGTATGAAGCTGTGCATCGAACATTTGGTTCTTGTTTCTAACTACTGTTTGTTATTGTAGACCACAAAATCTCTGCAAAGCCAGTTACAAAACCTAAAGACCATGAAAGCCCAATTGACAGTGACAGCGAGCCAATTGGAAGACTGGGTGAATGATGTAAAGGATTGGGCTGACGGTAAGGAAATGATTACTTGTAATACATTTAGTCACAAATAATTGTAATTGTTACTGGTATTGTAAAGTGCAAACCACACCTATTTCTTCTCAGCAGCAACAACAGCAACAACAACTACGAATGATGCTGATGCCCTGGCCAGCAGAATTGAGGTGCTGGTAGCCAGTATCAAGAGACGTTCCCAGCGTCTCTATAAAGATAACGATGGCAACAAAGGTCGAGCCAGAATCCGCCGCAAGATCAGGGAGGAGAAGGGAATCCTGACATCTGTTGTGGAGAAATACAACAGAATGGTTCCAATCACAGAAACTCTTTGCCTAGACACCATTTTGTCTGGTGAGACAGCTTGGCCATGGCAGCTCCCACACAGTGGTATGTACACTAGACTGTTGACTGCTACTGACAAATCTGATACATAATGACTTCAAATGTTATTCTGCAACCCCATACTATTTTAGAGGGTCTTTGAAGGTTGATGTTTAAAACTAATGATTTGTTTATTTATCATAAATGCATTCCAGACTCTGTCGATCTAAGGACAAAGAGAAGAGCTTTTGACATCATCATGTCAGTAAGGAGGCTTGAGGAGGAGCAGAAGATTCTTGTTGCAGAGATGGACCACCATTGGAAATCTCTCTCAGCTCGTTCTGATACCCTCAGAGAGCTGTCCTGCTTATTTTCAAGTGAGACACTCTATATTATGTATTTGTAATAAATTACATAACCATAGTAGCCTGGGAAAACCCATACAACTTCCGGCAAATTTAGATTTGCTCTGAAAGTTAGTCTGGCAAAGAGCTCATTCAAGCTCATTTCCAATCCGTCGAAATCGCGGCACCAATCAGAAACGTTGGGGCGGGCTTTACACGATGACAACAGCGCTAGGATTTTGAAGCAGATTTTGTAGCCTACATTATAAAGTTGGGTGCCGCCGTCAAATCACTCGTTCGAATCAGCTATCGTGTCTGTTTTAAGCGCTTTGAACGTTTCCTTTGTGTTAAAAACCGAGCAAAGAACAACACTCGGAGATATTTCTCCGCCGCTCTGCATACGTCATCTCCTTCATCACTCTGATTGGTTTTAGGTCTATCCGCGATGTCCGTTGGTGACGCCCCTCTGGAAATGATTTGTCTATGATGCTTTGCCAGACCATAACTCAATTATGAATGAATGGTCTGGTTTCAACCAGGCTATAGCCATAGGGTTGCACCGACAAAAGATTGCTATTAGGGGGCCCTAATAAATATACACACAACAATGATGACTGTTTATAACGTTTCTAAGGCTGGTATTATATTCTTGTGTTCCTCTTTTAAGATTCGCAATGTGATCTAAGTGGAGAGGGTTTGAAAGGTCTGCACAGCATCATCCCGAAAGCGGCATCAAATCAGAGAAATGAAGGTGCAAGCAAGAGACTGTTACCTCCAAGTTTTGTCTGGAGCAGAGAACATCAGCTTTTTGGACAATGCATCATCTGATGAGTACGACAGTGACGATGACATTTCTGATGATGGACTGTAATCTATAAGACTGTAACACCTTTCATACTTGGACAATAGCCTTAACTATGAATATAAAGCATCTAATAAAATCTGCTATTTATCACCATATAAATAAAACCAAAGTGTAACCTCTTCTTTCACATACATAGAAATGTGTACATGCATGCCTCTTAAACCAGTCAGTGGTGGAATGTAATTGCATTAATTAAAGTACTGTACTGTGAGGTATAGTAACTTTCATTAGTTGAACTGTAGGGTGCTGTATAACAATTGGCTTTATGCCCAGCTGCACTACTTCCTGAACTTCAGCCAGCTCCTTATTTCCTGTCTGCCATTACTGGCCAAATTGATTAATTCAGGTGTGTCTGATTATTGTTGCCGTGACTACTGAGGTCAAGCACACCTGAATTAATCAATTTGGCCAATAATGGCAGACAGGAAACAAGGAGCTGACTGAAATTCAGGAAGTAGTGCAGCTGTGCATAAAGCCAATTGAAACCTGTTTAGTGACATGGAAGAAGCAGATTATGAGGAGGAAAACCATAATGATGAGGAGGAATAATCATTATTATGATCACTACAGATCATTTGTTAGACAATAGATTAAAAAAAAAAATTAAGAACAGAATCCAAAACACGCAGTTACCAAAAAGAAATGTATCGCAACTAAGTAATTTTGTTTTTGCAATTACGTTAAAAAGTATAATAATGACAAGGTGAATAAATTGTGTACTGTAAGCACTGCAAGTATAGAATTGTACTGAATATAGGTTAATGCTTCCTTTTACAGTACTGTACTTACAGTTTACTTACCTAGAAAGTACTGGCTAATATAAGGTAAGTACATGGGCTAGTGGTAGGTTCAGGGTTAGAACATAGTTATTACCCAGTGATCGTATTTACTATAATTAGTATATAGTATGTACATGGGTAACGGGAATGTAAAATGCATATTGTTACCGAATATTATATAGTATTGAATGTCTTCAGCACTGTTTTGCATACTGTGAAAATGCAGTAAAAGACAACTGCAAAAGACAAAAAGGTTACCGTGAAAAAAGCCTAAATCAAAAGCATGTTACAGTTTTTACCAACTGCCTACACACAAAATCTTTTCATGTCACATGATTTTTGAAACCTCTCACTCAAAGTGCAAAACTATATGACCCACTGATCTATAAAACTATAAAACCATAAAACTATAAAACCCACTGATCATGAAATGCTTCGAGCGACTGGTTCTGACCCATATAAAAGACACTGTTAACATCACTGTGGACCCCCATCAGTATGCCTATAGAAGGAACCGGTCTGTGTCTGACGCAGTGTCAACTGTCGTCCACTCTGCTCTTACCCACTTGGAGAACAGGGACTCTTATGTCAGGCTGATTTTCCTAGACTTTACATCTGCCTTTAACACCATCATCCCACAGTCATTAATCAACAAACTGGTACTGCTGGGACTTAGACCATCTCTGTGCAATTGGGTCCTGGACTTTTTGACAAACAGGCCACAGTCGGTTAAGATCCACAGCACCTTATCCTCCACCCTTATACTTAACACAGGCTCCCCACAAGGATGCGTCCTGAGTCCTTTGTTGTATACGCTTCTTACATATGATTGCTCTGCAACACGTCTGAGCAATCACATTGTGAAGTTTGCAGATGACACGGCGGTGATTGGACTAATATCCAACAATGATGAGTCAGCGTATAGGCAGGAGGTGGAGGAACTCGTGGTTTGGTGTAGAGAAAATAATCTCCGCATCAACGTGGGAAAGACTAAAGAGATGGTTGTGGACTTTAGGAAGAGAGGTCAAATCCTACCTCCCCCCCTCTATATTGAGGGAGTAGCTGTAGAGACGGTGACCAACTTTATATCTGGGCCTGTACATTTCCAATGACCTCACATGGCACACCAACACAGCCAGCATTATTAAGAAAGCTCATCAACGGTTGTACTATTTAAGGAGGTTAAAGCAGGCCGGTCTCAACCCTGCTATTCTGACCTGTTTTTACCGGTGTGTGGTGGAGAGCACACTGTCATTTTCCATCACGGCCTAATATGGAAACTGCTCTGCAGCCGACAAGAAGGCGCTGCAGCGAGTAGTTAAGTCTGCTAGGAGAATAACAACAAATGACAGCCTTCCTTCCCTAGATGAGATCTATGTCAACAGGTGCAGAGGCAGGGCATCGGACATTATGAAGGACTCCACTCACCCAGCGCATAAACTGTTTACCATCCTCCCCTCTGGCAGAAGGCTGCGTAGCCTTAGAGCAAGAACCACAAGACTGAAGTGCAGCTTCTTTCCAGAGGCAGTGAGGCTTATGAACTCCTCGGTTTAGGTTCCTCTTGCCCTCTGCTTGCCTATAGCTGCTACTGCACATGACACTTTTATGATGATTATAGTCAGATGGGTTATAGTTCTTGATTGTTTTTATGGTTAGGATATTTTAATGTAATATATATAATCCATTTTATACGTTTTATTGGGGTTTATCTGAGGATTGAATTGTTATTTATTCTGTATTACGCTGCCGGACCTGGGAAACGAATTTCGTTCCTTCATGTCTAACATGTTTGAATGACAATAAAGTAAACTAACTAACTAACTAATAAAGTAAACTAACTATATGCCAAATCTTCAAACCATACGTTATTTCTCAGCTTTTGACTCAGTTTTCAATTGCATAAAACACTTTTTTTTTCAAAACACTACACACAATTCTCTTAAAAATAAGATAGCTACACAAGATAGCTAAAACACAAAGACACAACCAATCAAAATGCTACACTTAGTTATTCACCAGGTCACACACACACTCCTCACATGTGCAAACATTACACACACTCCTCACATGTGCAAACATTGCTTATGTACATGTTTATAGTTTTGTTGTATGCTATGTATACAATAGTAATGTTTGGCCTAATATATAATTTCTGTTTCTACATTGCATTGGTGTTTACGTGTACTTGTTACCCCTCTCAGCAGATTACTCTCACTGTAGAACATTGTATTGAAATGTAGATATAAGCCTATGAAAGACCAAAGAGCTTTAGATTTAGAACAGCAGTGTTTACATGGTATATTCAAAAGTGTATTATTATACGTTTTGAAAAACGTGTGTAAACAGAAATGTACACTCAGAAGAATTATTGCAAAATCATGGTCAGTGAGAGAGTGATTCTGCCTCAGCATCATGTCTTCATGTTGGTCCGGCCGGAAGACCTTGGCCACATCACAGACAATGTCATCTCAGGCAAAAGGAAAATCGCTAAAGCAGATCCAGCCTTTAAAACATTCTCCACACCTTGCTCTGCTCTTTCTCATCCTCCTCCTCTTCCTCTTTGTTCACCACCTATTTCACATACTCTCCCTCTTATATTGTTACCATCCATTGTTTGTATCAACATTCAGTGCAACATTTTAAATCAATTTTGGAACTCTGAACTGACTTGTATAATGAATTGGTGCAATTGGTTTGATCTCATCAATTAGAAATAAGTGAACAATTTTGAGTTGTTGTCTGTAAACGGGGTTAGTGTTTTAGCAATTCTGAAAAGTCTATTTTAAAACATTTGTAAAATATTACTGTATTTTTGTGTTACGAGTGCAGATCAAAAACCAAACACAAGCATATATAAATATAGAAAAGGTGGGGAAAAAAATAATGTGCAGATATAAATGTGACTCAATACAGTTTGTTGTCCATGATGAAGAGAGTAGCTTTATCCGCCCTTCCTCCCTCAGGGGTCCCGTAGCACCCCTGGAAAAGCAAAAAAAAAAAAAAAAACCTAAAAAAAAAAAAAAAAAAACACTCTGCAAAGTCTGCAAATGCAAAGTCTGATAAGCGTATAGAAGTGAAAATTGGTAGGACAATTATTTTTGTTATGTTTAATACATAATGTTGAACAGAGATGTCTGGCATACATGGAAAGGTGTTACAAAATCATTTTAAAAAGTGCTCACAGTAAAATACAACATTTTAGTCTGAATCTCAAATATGTCGAAGAGATTAGCTTAATTAACATATTTAGATGTACTTTTGTTCATTAAAGATTGTATTTATTTAATTCCATAACAAAACGTTTTAAAACTATATTACCCATGAGCCTCTATCGTTGTGTCACTGGGACGGGCGCTGTAAATTGTAGTTCATTGAAGTGTGTAGTTACACTACAAGGTTAGGGTTAGGATCTCGGTAAAGGTGTAATATCTTTTAATATAGCAATACCTCATTGTTAACTGGTAGTATTATTGACGTCATAACGACAGCAAAACATAGTTTGCGATATGGAGCGTTTTTTATTCTGACATAAACGTTAGTCCAACCACAGCTTGTCCTGCTGGCGCCATGGAAACGTCAAAACTACGTCACACTTGGCCATTTGGTGGTTCTTCCGACTTTTGATGTACACAAATCCAGGATATTTATTTATTTTGTTGTTATTTTTCATTGAAAGAAATACGACTTAATTTCCATGATTATTTATGTATAATGTATTATTGTATAACGTAATAATAATATATGAGCGATCTTACAAAAATACAAACTCTTGATAGTTATTATAGCATTGCAGTATTTGTTTTGAACAGATGTAAATAAATCTATTAATCAAATTCAAAAGGGACTAACAAAACCCCCTTCAATGGAAACTATATATAATCTAATAAGTAAATTGAAGCCATCATGTTCACCATGAATGCCCACTACCTTGTAGTTCACCTTAGTTTTTCATGTGATGTGCCAAAATATATGAAGACGTTTCTTTAACCCCTTCCCTCTGAAGAACACATTGCCCCCAATATATATATATATATATATATATATATATATATATATACACACACACACACACATTTAGTTTTACATTATTTTGCTGTGAATAAATGCAAGGCAAATATAAATAGGTAATTACAATAATAACAATTATGATTATAAATGTTAAAGGAATTAATATCTAATATTGTAATTGAATATTTCAAACACCACTACATTTAAGTGACATTTTAATATATTAAGGAGTATTCTGTTGTTTACCAAACAAATAGATAAAGTAGACTTACCT